AGGCCCGGGCGCGCGGTGCAGGCCTGCGGGAGCCACAGGTGGAAGCTGGCGCGTGCCACGCCCTTCGTGGCCCTTCCGACCTGTCTAAAGGTGGGATGCGGTGTTAGGTATTAATGGTTTTACTCCACTAAGGGCTAGAAATACTCTTGAGGCCGTGGGGAGCCTTCTAAAGGAAAGCCATGAATACTGGGACCAGAATACAGCCCAGTTCGTCACGCAGGCGCCCTGGTGGCAGCAACGTCTGATGCTTTCACGGGCCCGTCAGCAGTGGCTGTGAAAAACCGAAACTCAAGCAGGGTGCGCCCAAGGGAAAATGGCACCTTATAGTGTGAAGAAAGGATGGAAGGATTTAAAACCCAGGGCTAAATCTTTAAGGGCCAGTTTTTCTCTCTGCGTCTGTTTTGGTTCCATGAGGTGGCCTCGGCTGGACCACAGTGGGAATGTTGGGGTCGAGTGTTGGCTCTGTGTAGACGGCATTACTGCAGAGGACACAGATTTTTCTCACTGCCCGAGACGAAGAAGACGTTTGAGGTAGACAGGCATGGAGTAACCTGGACTTGTGGGCCAAATGTAACTTTAATTTTCTGTATCTGCTGTTTTTTGAAAAGTTTTCCCAAGTTCCTGCACACCAAAAGACTTAATTCTGTGTCAGGGGTCGCGAAGTACTTCGCGCCTGTCATCTTGTTTGGTTCTTTCAAAATCGCAGGGGAGATGCGGCCAAGCGGCACGGCCCATTTGGAAGTAGAGGCCGTGGCGGGTCACCCGCGGCCATCCTCTCTCGTACCTGTGCTTTGTTGCCGATTCTCATGCGATTTCTCCTCTGGGCCTGACGCCGACGTGCAGCCTTCGGAACCGCCCAAGTCCGTGAGCTCGTTTACACGCGCGGGCATTTTCTGTAGTAGACTCCAGGTTCCTGCTGTACTGATTCCTTTCCCAAAGAGGAAGTTTGAATTATATGACATTATATTGTATGATATTAATGTAGCTCTGCCTCAGGTTCCTCATCGATACAGTGGGGTCAAAGTTTACCTGCCTCACGGGGCTGCTGTGAGGACTGCGCATTAGCAGGGTGCCTGGCACGCCGGAAGCGCTTAATAGATGTCAGCTGTTCTGCTGTCCAGTGGAAGATCCATGTGAGTGGACAGCAGAGGGAAGCGGGTAGGGTTAAAGCCGCTGTCCTGCTCAAGGTACGGCTATGCACTGGTTGGCCAAGCGCACACTGATGTGTGGGCAGCTCCTCGCAAGCCCCTTTAAACCTCTAGAACGCCGAGTTCTGTCCCCTTCCTCTTCCGAATGCTCCTGCTGGCAGTCCCATCACCACCTCCTCTATGCTCATCCAGGAACAGGTGCTTCTCCTTGCTGCTTCCCCCTTCACATTCATTCGCGCTTTTCCTTCACCCACTTTCCTATCAACTTGCCAGCTCCCCCTTGAGCTCAGTGGGTCATGAGCTTCCTACACACGGCACAGTGTAGGTGTGCAAGAACCCTTAACGTAGAGTCGAGTGTTGAGCCGAGGTCACTCCAGATTTTACCTCGGCAGCAGGGAGTCAAAAAGGTGAGAGTTCCACTAACGTAACATGAAAAAAACCAGCGTTGGGGAGTTTGTGGGGAGCGGTTACATTGGCAGTGACGCTGTTAATTAGTTTAATCTTTCTGGAGAGCAACTAGCAGAGTGTGTATAGACTTTGAGTTCGGAATCCTGGTTTTTAAAATAAACTCTGACCTGCAGTCCCTGTGTGTCAGAATGGAGCAGCACTCCGCAGCTGGCAAGCCTGTTCAGGCAGCCCCGTTCCTGTCTTTTCATCCGACCAAAATTTGAACCAATTTCATCCAGGGCAATGTGCTCAGGAACACGCCTTAACCGGAATGGCCAGGCAGTGTGTGCACAGCATCCGCACTGTTGTGAAAACATGTGAGGACGTGGACGAGGACAGAATTGACCCTGCTGTAAGTAGTTTTATTTTAGAGTCATGGATTGTTCCCCTAAAGTGATGTTTTAGTTCACAGCCATTTTAAAATTCAAACACAAAAGGCACTATAATGCTGTAAGATGCCACGATGGACCTTCCTTCATCCCCCAGTATCTTCCTCCATCCCCCAGTATCTTCCTCCATTGCTCCCTAGCTCCAGGAGAAGGTAGGTGTGACGGCCACAGTCCCGTGGCATTCTCAGGGCCCCAGCCCACTCGGCCTTTCATTCTTTGCTAGCAGTCCATGCCTGTGCACACACTGCTGTGTGTCCAGCTGGTCTCCTGTCCCCTACAAGGCCCAGCTCCAACTTCCGGCCCGGGTCAGGCCTGCAGCACCCTGTCCTCCATGGTACCTCGTACCTTCTGTTTCTGTAGTGGGGAGGAAGTTCTGGCCCCTTACGTACTTGTCTCCCCTTGTAGATCTTTGTGCGCCCTGTGCTAAGCATCCAGCGCCTCTCAAAGCAGAAAGCAGACAGCGCATCATGGAATCAGGGTGGCGTTAAGGCCACTCATAGAGTTGATTGACCACCAGCGAGTCACTGACTTTTCTGAGCCTCAGTTCCTTGATCTGTGTAGTGGCGATTGTGAGGGTTAAGTGAGACTATGTGGACAGGGCGTGGCGTGGCCTTTGTGCAGTGGCACTCGCCCAGGACGCGGTGGCTGCTGCGGTGTGTCAGGGCCTTCTCAGACCTGCCGCCAACGCCCTCTTCCTGTCGAGGCCCGCCCACGCCCCCATCAGACCCTGTCTGCTGTCCTCACTTGGCTTCCTCGTGGCGCTTACAGCCATTTGACACACTTTCTCCTTCGTCTTCCTTCCCCGTAATGGGAGGGGTTTTCTCTCTGCTAAGAAGTCCCATGTCTGTAAGTACTTACGCTTGCTTGATAC